AACGACGTAACTCGGATTGCCCAACCGGCGTGAACAACACGCAACTCATATACATACATTGCCGTTGTTCTTTCTTTTTTTTTGTTGTTGTTGAATGTGTTTTTTTATACACATATGAATAATTATAACACGTTTCCTCAGTACATCCAGTACGCAATCCGTTAATATTATGTCAATATTTTGTAAAACTTTTCGCAAACCCGTTCAATTTGAATGAGAATTACAACGGATGTCTGTTTGTAAATACTGATATATTTAATAGACCATTTGAAAAATTATCATGAAAACACTTAAGTATGATTAAAAATGATCATTTTATGCCTAGTCATTTAGACGGATGTTACTCAAACTTTATACATCATAAATCATAGTAAAACAAGATTAAAAGGTATTAGAGTATACATTGCACTTTTATTATTATTATTTTATTGCATTACTTTTTTGAATCGTAAATAGAGTTTTCTATAAACGCACTTGTATATTTATTTGTAGTATTAATAAAGGCATGAATCAACACATGACTTATTTGCTAGTATAATGCATTTTCTGTTGTGAACTATTAATAGTGGAAAATTAATGAAAGCGTGATACTTGAAATAAGCGAAATGTTATTAAAAAATGAAAGTTCTTAACAAAAAAAATGCGTGCTATTAATATTATTATAAAATGTATGACCAATTTAATGGCAGCTCGTTATTTCTGTTTTATTCACAACGGTGCACAAGACGAAAGACAGCGCGGAAAATCTCTTGTCTTCCTTCGTTTCGTACGTTTTGAGTCACGCTTGATATTTGCAACAATTTACATTTATAATGGAGCCGTAGCGTTTTCTTATTTATCGCTATTTTTGTAATTGTTTCAAACTGAATCATTTGTATTTGCTTTCTAATGCGGCGTGTGTTTTCTGGAAAACCGATTTGCATTTGAAAAATATATGCAGAATTGAAAAAAATAACTAACATAAAGAATTATACACCTTGTTATTAGTACATGCAGATAGAAAGAAAAAAAAATGCTTGTTGTTTAGAAAAATTTATCAATCCAGTCGTATTCAAGGCTACAAGTTCGGGCAGAAAGTTGTGTTTTGTCGGACACGGTTTTAAATGCTCTTAGTAATTAATTGCGGTGCGATGTGTTTCATTTGGTTTGTTCTCTGTAACGCAATCTTTTCTGTTAAATGGCATGGCAAAATATCAGATAAGAATGTTATTGTCTGCCGTTGTAGGAGTAATGTCTTCGAATAGTCTGTCATCACAGCAATTGAAGATAAGTATCTATTCATAATAGCGCTGAACTATTCAGGAATAAAATGATTTACACAGGCATTTGGAAAATTCGCGTGCTTGCACAATTAGAGGTCGCAATTGCGTATCCATCCATCCTCTACATCCCATTCATTGTTTTCACCTTTCTGGATAGATAATAATGGTCACCTCAGTTGTGATGGAGATAATTATGGAACGCTCGAAGAAAGTAGACAGCTTTCATTGGATTTTAAACTCGCTACAATTTACTTGATAAACGTGTTTCCGCGGATGCGAAACGTTGGTCTCTATGTACGTCTCTCCTTATTTATTTACACTTTTATGTAAAGCGGAAAACTACGTACGGTCATCCGCAATAATTACGTTCGATAGACAGATACAACTTTTCTATTCTATTCTCATAGTCAATTCAATCGGTAATAATACTTTTATAAGAGTTCTCCGAGTTTCACCTTATGCATTATTATTTTTTTTCAATCCATTTACTTTTACTTATTTTACAAATGGTTCTGCTATTATTACTTCGCGCATTTTTTTTTTACTTTTTATTATTAGAAATCAAATTAGGAAATTGTTATCTAATTACGGTGAATGCAATTAGCCGTAGTAGACGATTTAAACGCCCTCATTCGTACCTGCAATCTTTAATTATATTTTCATTAACCAATTATTTGGAATTCTTTTGTTACCGCAAAACCAATATACGTTAATAATTAACTAACATCGTTAATTTTTTTTTCGGATTAACGTTATTTTTGTATGTGTATATAATAAAAGCTGTTAACTACCAATGGAACCGGTCCGACCAAAATTCTTTCCCCGTTAACGGAAATGGGAAACCCAAGTTTGGATAAGTAGACGCTATGATCGGAAACTGTTATTAATGCTATGAGAGCTATCAAAACCAATGGCAACATCCTAAAATGGTTATGTAATATGACTTGTGCGTTGGAGTTTATTGCTTCGAATTACCGTCATAAAACGAATTTCAACAGTTTTTTTATTTAGTTTCAATAAAAAAAAACTAATTCGATAGATAAATACGTAACTTAAATTTATTGGAATGCGCCTAAAGCGATCACCAATTGCTTAAAAATAAGTACACTTTGGCTTGCGCCAAAAACACGCGATCGATGGATTACAAAAAAAATCAAATTTTGCAATGTAAGTCAATGGAATTTATAGCATTGAAGATTAATATAATTCACTTCGGGCAGAACTGTAGTCGATAGATCTTTGGCTAAATATATTATTACTAAGCTATACTTATAAAAGTACGATTACCATGTTATAAGTTACTTGGCAAGTATTTGTACTTAATACTTCACTGAAAAGGCAGCACTTCTTCCTTAATGTTATAGAGAGCAGTTGCTTCCGGGAATAGTAAGATCTCCAATAATTGGTTTATTTGAATTTTAGAAATTGCATTAATAAATCCATGTAGCCGAGAAAACGGACGGAATAAATTTCAGTTAAATGTATTCCTTTTCTTCGCACATAAATCTCTCAGGTAAAAGTAGTTCGCAATCTCGGCTCTCGTTTGACAAAATTTTTGGAAACACAAATAAAAATGATTATCTAATCCGAAATTTCACACTGTATATATTAAAATATGTAGATTATTTCTCTTTTTCACTCGGATCAGAGCTTGACAAATTTTGCGCAACCTCAACAAACGCAGAACCGCTTTCGGTTACTCAATGCGACCATTGCGGACCGGTCACGATCCCGATCCGAATTATCTAGTTTATGTGTAGTATATTCGGCATGCCTGTTTTTATTGTATGTTTATTTGCTCTCCGCTCTTTTGCTCGTAACAGGTGTAATGCAGGTGATTGTTGCTCAAATGGGCGTGCTCACTCAGCAATTCCATGATACATTTAATAAAGTTTTACTGGTATACTTCTTTGTGAAACAGGTTTAATAATTTACTTAGTTCGCGGTATTTACATTTGTCAGCTATTCTTAAAAAAGATAATATTAATGATAAAAGAACTGACATTTCATGTACTTTCATTTCAAATCTAGTACATATGCAATTACTTTTCCTTTTCTAATTCAATGTGTCAAAACTTGAGCAGTGATCTCTAAATATTATTTGTTTTGGAATCTCTGACTAAGCTAATTGATATGAGTAAATATTTGAAGGTGATGTAAGCAGCGTGCCCAAAGCTACAGGTCGTGTGGTGATTACCATCCGTGCTATGAGTTTTGGAACGGACTAAGACTGTATATGGAAGCAAAGAGAACGCTGGGTGCTTGCTTTTGCGTTTACTTTCGCCTGAGCTCTGGTTTCTACACCCACCCCACGGTCTTTTCCGTGGAAAAAGGCACGCGCCGCCCCGCGGGCCGACGTGACGGGCCGCAAGGTCGGTCCACTCACAAAATCTTATGTTTTCGTGATACACTATTATTATTTTTCTATCTAATTGAGATTAATATCACAGTTTTTCGACATGAAACGCTGCTACAATAACTTCACTTCACGAAATGTCATTGTTTCCAATTGCACTTATTCCGAATGGAAATACTACCTATTTATTATGTATGTATGCAATGAACACAATGTTGAATAATTAATACCACCTTGTAACGTCAAAAAATTATGCGGATTTGCTGAACACTCACTTTATTCAAATTATTCCAGTTAAGATAACATTGGAATTTGGGAAGATCAATCAATATATGTGATTGGATTTATCACAAAATGAAAAATATGTTTGTAAATTATTAATATCTGATGCATTCATAAATGTTAAAGCAAAGAAACTTTTACCTTAATTGATTATTAATATCTCTATCAGTTATTTAAATTTGTTAATTTACTTTCAATCTTGGAATAGATTTGTTTTGTTTATAAAATACATGATCTCTCTTTTAGATGTTTTTTGTTTTGTAGAAATAAACTACAACGCAAATTTGCGATTGGAATGGATTGACTGAAAAACATTGACACGTATTTATGCAAGCGATGCGATTACTACTTTTTTGTTCACCGATTTCGAATTATTTGAATTCTTAATTACAGAATCAACTGAGACACGAAAAAAAGCAAACTGAAAGTGAAATTCTTTGCGATGTCTATAAATATAGTTAATGATAATGTAAACTCTACATTCACAACATGTCGAAATTCTTGAGGATAAGTAATGTCCGGACGCAAATTAGAATGAATCCCAGATTTGAAAGTAATAATTACTATTTTGTTGCTGCCGTTTTATTTCTCTTCTTTCTTTCACCGATCGAAATCGTGTTGTATTTTAATTGCAATCCGAAAGTGCAACGTAATATTGCGGATTGGGTTCTCGACTGAAACTAAATAAACAAAAGAAGTATTTGCTTTACAATATTGAAAATTCTATAGATTATAGTTGTGTTTTCGTAATCGGTTCGGACTTTCTATATCATTCATAATTGTCTCATTTTATATGTATAACGGATGTTTTCATATAAATAAGTACAAAAACAAACAAAGAAAACGCATTTATATTTTCTCCTGTCGAGTAGAAATTTAAGTCGTTAATTGAAGAAATAGAGCAAACATTATGAATAGGATGATCTGTTCCAACAACGGTGCTCGAGAAACGTACATTTTCTGGTGTTGTAATGTAGGAATAGCAAGAAGCATGGTCAGCGTCCGGTCTGGGTGTGGCCATGCACTAGTAACATTTTCATGCTGTATTATTGAAGTGTTGCTTCGAAAGCAAATCCACTGATTCCCATTTATTTCCTCAGAGAATTTGGCGCCTTCGGAGCTGAAAAAGTTGCGCAACAAACAAAGGAAAGCCCGTAAGAAGGCCGAGCAGGAGAGCGCGCAGGCGGCTCAAGCGCAGGTGAAGAAAGATCAACACCACAAATGCGGAAGAGGCGATGTCGAGCCGGATGCACCGCAACTGGACGAACTGATTCCGGATAAATTGGCTAGGGTAATAATTTTAGTCAGAAATATGTCATTTTCACAGATGTGAATGTAATGTGCGTTTTTTTTTAGGTCGATGATCCTTTAGAGCAAGCAATCAAATTCCTTCAGCCGCTCCAGATGCTCGCAAATGATCGGATAGAGACCCACTTGATGGCTTTTGAAGTTTATTTCAGAAAGGGTGCGTCACTTGAAACGCTTTCAAATTACATTAATAATTAACAATGTTTTTCTTTTGCTTTAGGAAAAGTTCTTTTAATGCTGCAGTCGATTAAGCGAGCCAGAAAATTGGATCTGAACAATTCCATGCTACACACTTGTATCATACGCTTCTTGAAATTCATTAGTGATAACAAAGTGGAGTGGGATCCTGCCGTCGATTCGGTATTGAAGAGCGAATTGAAGGCCCACTTCAACAACGAGCAGGATGCTACCAAATTAAACCACCAGTTCCTTGAAACATACGGGGATCGTTTGGAATCCGTCCTCGAAGGTGGCAAGATGTCTTATTATCTTGACAAATCGAGTCGAAGCCGTTCCCTCGATCTTGTTCTCAGCTTGGACAATAAGTATAAGGATGTAAATATTAAGGTGAGCAGTCTACGGAACTGGAATGCATCTATAACTATAACATCTAAATCGTTTTCAGAATTGTAATAATGTGTTGGGAGCTTTGAGGAAGGGCGATTTTGGCGATTGCGCCAAAGAGATGGAGGACTACGTGGCGCGATGCAATAAAGCCTTCCCGTATTGCGCATCCTTCCAAAAGGAGAAGACTGTTGAGAACAATCATATACAGAGCGAGAATGCCCTGTGTTCAGACTGTCAGATAGTCAATGATGAACAATTCATGCCATTTAATAACATTTAATATACGAGTTGCATTAAAGATAATCAGTTTTCCTTGGACTGGGTTTCTTGTATATTTTGGCCCGAAGCAAAATAAAATTAATAAAATAATCATAATTTGGTTCATAGTTTTTAATTCAGCGACATTAAATAACATTGCGTTAATACTATTCTATTTCCTTTTGCATTTACTACTTTTCTATGACATTTTAATTGTTTGTTTCTTCTTCGTATTTCTCATACTCTTGTTTCATGTACAGAAAAATAAATTGAACACATTCTGATATTTTGAACTGGAGTCCCAATTGTACAGATGTTTTAGGTATTCATTTGAATTGAACATTCATAGGAAGTCAATAATTAGTCTTTGATTAATGCAGTGCGTTATACAATTAAATATTAATAATATAATATCAATAATATTGAGTATAGAGTTTTTAATATATGATTTTTATTTAAATGACTGCAATTGGTGATAATGTATTAGGATGGTATTTGTAATGTTGCCTTTTTTACTTGTGCGTGTGTTTTTAATATAAAATTTTAAATTGAATTTAAAGATAATAAACAGAAAGAAAAAGCACACATCTTTGATCATTTTATCACAACACAAATTCTAAATCCCCTTCAAAGTTCTTTGCATGTATCTAGAATATATCAAATGAAAAATCTTTTTTTCTTTAGTTCAAAAAAATAATTTAATCAAAAATTTCTTCATGTTTATTAGGAATAATGAAAGCTAAAATAGTAGTACATCTAATCATATTAAAACAGACATGAATACAAGAGGACAATATAAAAACTTTTGGAATTGTAAATAACTTAGTCGTGGTATTTGGAGCATCTAATATTGAATTATTAAGTGTGCAAGTGGAATGAAATTTACGAAGCTTCCAAATATTATCATATATGTTGCATACCATCACGCAACATTATAAATAATAGTTTGAAAGTGTCTTAATTGGAAAATATTGCTGTAAATTTACGAATAACTTGCACGTTAATTTGGTACAAAGATAACATCTTCCTTTTATCCAATTCTACAAACTTAACCATACTTAACGACAAACTCATTTTTCGTCAAACACACTTTGCTGAAAAATATTAAGTGTCAAAATGGTAATATAATCTTTAGTAGTTGTCTTACATACTTGCAATGCACACCGGCTGCATTGAGCATACGTTTGGCAGCATCTATTGATTTCCTGGTATCGTCTTTGTCCGCATTATAGTATACACTTGTTATCCCGGTTTGGATTATGTATTTTGCGCATTGGTGGCAAGGGAAATCCGTTATGTATATCTTGCATTCTTTCAAGCTCACTTTGCATTCGACAATGGCGTTCAATGGAGCGTGACAAGCTAAAAAAAAATTGGAGATATAATTTTTTGACTAAGAAAGTATTTCAAACATTACAAAATAGCTCTCTGTATTTTAGCTTTTTCTTCGAATAACCCATGGATTCCATAGTGCAGTTTTTGGGAAAACCGTTGCAGCTCATGCTAACGACTTGATTGTCTGGATTTACTATGCATGCTCCAACGTGTTCATGGGTATCCTTGCTGCGTGAAGCGACAAAGTACGCTAGGGTCATGTAATATTCGTCCACATTTAAAGGACCGTCAGGTTCTTCGGTATCCGGTGTTACAACAAAGACATTACCGCTAGATGGTTGCAAAGGCGAAGTAGACTGGCTTATCGTCGATCTATAATTCTGTCGTTTCTTCTCACTGGATATAATAAAATATATGAATAGTATTACTATATCGTTCGTGGAACAGATTTTAGCTTACGCCGAATTCGATATAACAGGTGGCATCGGGGATGGCTCACGAGAAGATTGATCTGTCGACGGCATCGGCGAAACGCTCGACTGGGATTCTCTAAAAATGGTAAAAATCAGTTTAAAAATAAACAAAGTCGGTTTTAACTTACTCTTCGGAAATTGGTTGCTCCATTTTGGTTCGTGTTAATTCAATATGTGAGCAAGCCTACATTCAACAAGAAGGAATCAATTCAATTTAAAAAAAAACTTCCAGTTTTTAACAACAAATTTCTTCCATTTTTTTTCTTAACATACTATATTTTTAATCATAAATTTGAATTTAAAATTTCAATGCATAAATGATGAAATAATAAAAATTCTATTTTAGTAATATTATTTTTAATTATCTGATTATTATAAATAGTTCACAATACATTTTTTGGTGAATGTATAATTCTGGTTAGTCAATTTATGGAAAATAAATCGAAAACTTCTTAATTTTAGGAATTGATTGTCTGAGAAGAAAAACACATAATATAGTAAATATCTACTATGTTCAAAAGTACAAAGAAACCTCCACCGAGATTCCTTTGATACTGTCGTGATTTTGACAATGAAAATTGTTGCAAAATTGCTTCAGGAATCAATAAAACAAAAAGTTGAAAAATAACAATTCTACTTTCGTAATAGTATTTGTTATTATTTTATTCTAAAATACAAGGACTCAAATGTTATTCAAGTTAATATATAAAAGCACACAAATATTTAGTATTGTATTTCCTTTATTCTCAATTTAATAAAATATAGTTAAATAATAAATTGATTATAATTGATATAATTATAATGAAAGAGATACACCAAAATAATATAAATTGATAATGACGTAATGAAAAGAAGAAATATTACATATTTTAATTAATAAGCAAGGAATCAAAATAAGTAGCAAAAAAAATGAGTAAATTCTTTCTTTCTATCTTTCTGTCCATAATTGATATATAATTATTGATATTTTACAAATCCATTTTTCTACAAGAAAGCACAATTTTGTTATCTTCCGACATTGAATGCCAATGTCTAAAACAAACCAAATAATATAGTAAATATTACGAAAAGAAAAATGTGTATGTATTTTACCTGTATTTAATATTTGCTTCATCCAGCATTTTTTTTGAAACTGGATTTATACCAGTTCCGTCTTTAGCATAAACAATTTCGTTTATCCCCGATTGTAAAATGGATTTGATGCATTTGTTACATGGAAATGAGTTAACGTAGATTTTGCAATTATTCAGTTCGGCTTTGTTTTTGTTGAGAATCGCATTGAGTACAGCGTGACATTCTAGAAAATGTACTTTATTTAATATTTAACAAAAAAAGACCACCCTTTTCACCCTTATTTCTAGTGTTTATAGTTACTGTTTAATGAATTATAATAGTTATCTGTTCATAGACTTTCCTATATTTTTGTTATATTTACCATACAGATTTGAATCATTAATATTGCTTCCTTCTAAATATTCCATTCCCTTGGTCATATTATTATATCCAACTCCAACGGTATAATTTTCTTCACTTATTATGCAAGCTCCAAGTTGTGTCTTTGGATTCTTACTACGTTTAGCAGCAAGAAAAGCATTTCCCATGAAAAACTCTTCCCATTTTCTTTTTCTGAGAACATAACAGAAACAAATTAATTACTGATTTGTATCGAAGCACATCAATATGCAAAGTCAATCCACGCACCAATACAGTTAATGGAATTTTTGCAAAGAACCGAAGATGTTTAATAGTGAATACTACGATCATTAATATTTTATTTCAGTTTATTAGCGATTAAATTGAAATTACTTACTTATTTGTTTGAGTCATCGTTTAATTTTCAAACAACAATAATTTCGTACAATTGATTAAACTGGTTCGCTTCAACTGTCATGAATGAATGATTCCAATTTGTATAATCTATCCACATCCATTCGAATCATTATATATAAGGCGCGTGCGGCTAAAATGATTCTAGAAGATATCGATAGATTATACAGTTTGATATAAAGTTGCAAAACAGCAACGCGCTTTTGTCTTTTTTCAATTAATTGTTATTACAAAAATAATAAAGAGACAAAGCTATTGAATTGCAGCTAAACGGAAAATTAACGTAACATTTTGATAGAAAAAAAAACATTTGGTGATACAGTCGAACAAATTCAATTCAAACATAAGTTTATATACAGAGCTTTTGACCCTTTTACAGTTTGAGAGACTACGTACATTTTACTTATTAGAAATTTTCCAACTTTAATAGTTTTTAGTTTGTGCGGTTAATATTTATACACTTTTAACAATGGATATAATTCCCGAGGATATTTTAAATGTTTTGGATACGTTTATCAAATGTTTCAAAGTAATTTAGCGTGTCTATAAATGTATTTCTTCTATCTTTTCTAAATTGCATAAACTAAAATGTAAAGCAACTTAATTTTCAAAGGTATCATAATTATTATCATCAATTTATTAAAATATATTACATAATTAAACATTTAGAAATATTTTCTAGTACTCAAATATTTGAGATACGATTTTTGATATTATGATACATTTTTGGGTGCAGGACTTAATGCTGGTTGGTACATGGAATCCCAATCAATTTCATTAAAATCAATCACAATTTTCTTATTTTTCGGATTCAACTGACTGAAACAAACCAAATAATATAGTAAGTATAATGTCTGAAAGAAAATGTCTTATTTTACCTGTATTTAACATTTGCTGCAGAAAGCATCCTCTTCGATGCTATAGTCCCGTTTTTGTGGGCATGCTTGTCAGATAGATAAACAACTTCTTTTATCCCTGATTGTATAATGCATTTGGCGCATTCGTTACATGGAAACAAGCCAACATAGAGTTTGCAATTTTTCAGATCAGAGCTGTTTTTGTTGAGAATCGCGTTGAGCTCAGCGTGACATACTATAAAATGTACTTAGCATTAATACCATATCATACTTATTTTTTTAAATAAATAATTATTATATCACAAATTAGTTACCATATAAATATTTGTTGTCTAATTCAGATTCTTGGTTTTTGCTCCAAGGAAATTCATCATCATTGCATCCAATGGGCATACCGTTATAACCAACACCTACAATCTTCTTATCTTCATTTATTATACAAGCTCCAACTTGTGTGCATGGATCTTTGCTACGTTTAGCAGCCAGAAAAGCAATTGCCATGAAATATTCATCCCAATCGATAAAATTTTGATTTTTGCATGATGAATTACTTTGTTTTGGTTTATCTTCTCTGAAAATATTAGTGATATAAATTAATTATAGAAAATTCAACACTTTTATTAATTTTGTTGAGTTTATAAATGAGCCGAAAGAATAATAATTCATTATTGTATCTTATACTTCTGCTACAATATCAATCAAATTACTTACATGTCTGTATGATTCATTATTCTATTTTCTATAAACGAAAATATTGTACAATAATTGAAAATCAAGAGCTCCCTGCAGCTGGCCAAACATAAACAAAAACATGTGCAGTTTGTTGTCATGTATAACCAATAATAATCTTGCATTTACGTGTTAAATTAGTTGCATACGCTTTTCAGTACAGCTACATCTTGTGGAATATATCTTATTTGTTGGTTTTATTTGGTAAATATGGTATACATGTACTAGGTGGTACTAGGATTTCCATTCATTAGTTTCCTTGCTATTCATAACTTAGCATATAAATATTGATGGATACCCAAAAAAATATTTTTAAGAATATTGTTATAATTATTATTATATTAATTATAACAAGTTATTGGGTAAAAAATATAACATAAAAACTTAATTAAAATTATTATGATTATGTACTTTCTTATTTTTTTTTATAAAAACACTTTTCTTTAAATTTTATAATTAATATTTTTTATTTTTGTTTATGTTATATAATATTTCTTGGCCAATATATAATTATTATTACAAAATAAATGAGTTTCTTAAAAATATTTTTTTGACCGTCGCCTAGCTGTTGCGTACCCGGTTTTAACTTACTCTTCTGTACAAAGCAATGAATTGAATTACTATAATAATATTTTACCATTTACTCATGAATTCGATGTATTTTTATAATAAATGGAAATTAAATAACATTTCTAAGCAGAAAGACCAACAGTATAAGAGTATATTCAGTATTTTTCGGATACAACTGACTGAAACAAACCAAATAATATAATAACTATAGTTCCGTTTTTATGTTATCATGTTTGTCAGACATATAAACTATTTCTTTTATCCTCAATTGTGTAATGCATTTGGCGCATTGGTTACATGGAAACAAGCTAACGTAGATTTTACAATTTTTCAGATTGGATATGTTTATGATGTCATTCAGTTCAGAGTACTTATAAAATGTACTTATTAATAATATTTATATATAACAATATTATAAATTATGATCATAAAATTTTCCTGTTTCTAATATTTAACATATGAGCCGTTATTTTGGAAAGTTGTATAAGTCAATTTTTGGAAAAAAAAATGAGTAATTTTAGTAAGATATACATATCCTCTTTTTATATTTATAATTATACTATGAATGGAGAACGATTTCTTGATAAAGTAATCAAAATAATATAACTATATAATGTTATCGCAAAAATATTATTTTAGTCGTATAAGTCCATTTCTTATAATTATGAATAATGAACTTCCTAATTGGAATTATTATTTATTATTATGACTTCAGAGATATCTAGAAAATGCATTACAATATCGTAAACAAGATAAAATCAATAGAAATAAAGACATAAATATTAATATTAAAAATAGAATACAAATAGAAATGAGCTTATTCCACTTAAAAAAAAAAAAACTTTATCAAGAAAAAATCCTGTATTCAATGTATGATTTTACTATATAATGTTATCGCAAAAATATTATTTTTCAAAGTGATATAAGTCAATTTCTAATAATTATAGTTACAACATCGTAAACAAGATAAAATCAATAAAAATGAAGGCAAAAATATTTATTGATATATAATATAATTTAACTATTTTATAGTCTAGAAAACATCGCACGACAGGATTAAAGTTTACCAATAGAGTTTATTATTTCTTTTGCTTTCTTTCTATAGTTTGCTAGTAGATAGATTGCTTTATAAAATAATAATAAAAAATAATCAAACGCTAACCCTTAAATATCTGGATATATAGGACTTATACCACTTTTTAAAATATGATATCTTGTGTTCTAATTTATTTTGTTTTTATACTAATAGTGTAGACCATCAACACATATCATTATAACCAACTCCAACAATAAATTATCTTCATTTATTATGCAAGTTTTGTACGTGTAGAAGTAAGGAAATTACATGAAATATTGTACTATTTTAGTTTGGCTGAAAATATAATAAAAAAATAATAATTATGGAGAATACATATTTACAGATCATCACGGTCATTATTTATTAATTATTCAATAGAATAATAAGTAATCAATTAGTGTTTCTCAACCTAGGGGTCGTTAAATAACATCTGCCATCTTTTATTAAAGAGAGAAACTGGTGAAATACAACTTTCTTTGAATTGAACGTTATAAATAATTGAGTCACAAAACAACTACAAATAATTATGTTGGATCGTGCAGAAAAATGGTTGAGAAAAGTTGCTTTACTCAGGTAATAATCCAGAATACCCAGCAATTTTCACGAGAATAAGAACAAAATCCGGGAAATTTTACCCACTGATCTGAATGGCATCATTATTTCTAATATATTAGCAATATAATTTTATGTACATTCATATTTGTTTAATCCTGTATTCAGCCACACCCACTTGAGTCACCTTAACTGCTTCTTACCATATCAGGTTAACCCCATGATACATTTTTTTATATCGTCCTTTTATTCACCACTGTTCTATAAAACATTCAGTAAATGATCTGGCGGTTGACAAGATTTTAATTGGACAGCGATTATCCTTTACTTATTGGTTATTTATTGAATCTCAGTGGTAGATCCGGTGGCTTGTGTTGCTTCATTCTCTGTGTTGTTAAGCTATTGTCCAGAAGATTGACAGTCTAGTCAATTTTGGTATCGGCTACTGTGTTTCTTAATTGTTTTCTTTACTGTTTCCATTTTAAGGTCATGAATTCTCTTGTTTGTAATATATGGAGCACCAATGATCCTTCTTAGGCTCTTCGACTGGAATCTTTGTATGATACAAATATAAATCTATATTTTATCATGCGTACAACCAATAACAAAATGAAACATTTTTAAATAAATTCTTTATTAAAAGCACATTATTACATATTATATATGATTATAGATTATAATAAAATAAAAATTATTTGAATATTTTAGGTAAAACTTGGGTAATTCATTATTATATAATATAAATGATGGGTTAGGTGAAGTTTTGAAAAATTCCCACAGCAACCAATAAAAAAGAAGTTGAAAAATAACAATTGCAGTTCAGTAATAATCTTTGTTATATCTCTTACCTAAATTGCACGGACTAAAATGTTATATATTTTAACTTTCATAAGTTTTAATATAGAATATATTATTTGTTATTAATTTATTAAAAATTGAACATATATTCTAAATGGTTCATAATAGATTGTTGGTTGCTGGAGTTATTTTCGTTAGTCATTTTAATTAAAATCAATCAGTAATTCCTCATTATCGAATGTCCCTTCCCATTCACTGAAACAAATGAAATAATATAGTATATATAATGAAAAGAAAAAAAATATTACTTTACCTGTACTTAATATTTGCTGCATTTAACATTTCTTTTGATGCTATAGTCTCAGCTTTATATGAATACTTATCAGATATGTAAACAACTTCTGTTATGCCCGAATTTATAACACATTTTGCGCATTCGTTACATGGAAACAAGGTAACGTATATTTTGCAATTTTTCAGATCTGCTGAGTTTTTGTTGAGGATCGCATTGAGCTCAGCGTGACATACTATAAAATGTAGATATTAGTAGCATTTATACATATTTTTAAAATAATCAAATATACTATCATAAAACATTTACCATATGAATGTTTATTATCCAATGGAATTGATTTGTTTTTATTCCAAGACATGTTACGATCTCTGCATCCATTGGGCATACCATTATAACCAATTCCAACAATTTTCTTATCTTCATTTATTATGCAAGCTCCAACTTTTGTTTCTCGATCATGACTACGTTTAGCAGCGAGAAGAGCAACTGCCATGAAATATTGATCATCATTTATAAATGATGTATTATTTTGGCTTGAATTATCTTCACTGAAAATATAATGATTCTATTTATTTTAATAGACCGAGAGTCATTGATTTTATTGTTATTTACAACAACAATTCAGTAGGATAATAATAATTAACATTGTTTTGTATTGTAGCACTAATGGCGAATCAACCAGTAATTAGAATCACCATTAAAACTTTACTTTAAATTTGTTAACAATAAAAATTAAATTACTTACGTAACTTTTTCACTCATTTTTGTATTTTCAAACACTAATAATATTGTACAATAGTTTAAGCTGGCTTGCATCAACTGGCATATATAAATATAAGGCAGCTGTAATTTATATAAGGCAGCTGCAATCAATAACCAATCATGCATTGATATGACTAATTACTTTGATAAAAAATTGACAAATCTAGTATTCCGCAACGCGGTTTTATAAAGAATCTAATTTTTCATTTTAAATTAAGAACATTGTAGAAGAAAAAGATGGAGAAAAGACCATATTTTTTTATATAATCATAATAAGAAAATTAAAAAAAAAAATAACAACTGTTTCAAAGGGCTATTCCGCCATTAATAGTAGTGTTTATAGATATTTTTTTGTGAATTATATTTGACTATACCTGATCACACACTTTTATATTTTTTTTTTGTTATATTTACCATATAGGTCTTTAATATTGTTTCCATCCAAAGTATACATAGTTACATTGCACTGGACATATCATTATAACCAACTCCAGTAGTATAATGTTCTTCACTTATTATGCTAGTTCGAAAAAAAGCATTTGCCATGAAAAACTCTTCCCATTTTCTTTGCCTGAGAATATATCAGAAACAAATTAGTTATTGATTTCTGTCGAATCAGATCAATATGAAAAGTCGATCCACACACCAATACAGTTACAATGAAACTTTACAAAGAACTGAAGAAGCAGAAATCAGTGAATACTACGAGAAATTTAAAATAAAAAATCCGCGAAATTATACCAACTGATCTGAATGGCATCATTTTCTTCAAGTATATGATCAATAAAATTTAATTTACTTACTAATTTGTTGTATCCATTGTTCTTTATTCAAGTAACAACAATATCACAGAATTATTTTAAACTCAATTTTTCAACTGAAATAACAATAATAACCTTATCAGCTTCCTACCATATCAGGTCTCAAATAATTTAAATTAATTGTTACGTGTAACCAATATTAATTTTTAATTTATATGCAGAATTAGTTGCATACGATATCCATTACAGATACAACTTGCGGAAAAAATCTTATTTTATTTTCGATGATACATTTATTATTTGGTATACAATTAATTACTATTTGTTTATTTATTGGTCTCAATTATTACCATAGATCTATCAAACAAGATCTTTCTGCGGTTCTAAATTATTATTTTATTATGCAAATATTTGCAAAACAACTTTATGGACATTTATTTGTAATAAATGCTAATATTAAGAAATTATTATCATTACCTAATTTACATAAGTTCCTTCGTTTATTAAAACAAAAATTCAAGAAAATATACATTCTAAAAAAAGCCTGTTTTATTAAATATATTGTCCATTGTTTAGTATCAGAGCTCTCCAGAAAGCTCTCTTTACCATCTGGAGCGCTCCCATCTGTAAGCTCGAACTCACGGCTACTGATCCGGCGATACTACTTTTATACAACGCGATGGTATCACATATCTTTTTGGCCGCTTCAGTTGCGTTTTTCCTTTTCCAAAAAAACCTGTCAAAAAATCACGATTTTTTCTTCTATTCAATTAACACAATGTCAATAGCTGAATTATTGTTATCAAAAATCGCCTTATGTAACGACCCAATACAAGATATACAGTCGTCATTTTTTACGCATGAGATTGAATAATTAATATTATTAACTACATCATTTCAGAAGTCATGAAATGATTACCAAATGTTTTGAATAGTACAAATTTAATTTTTTTTTCTAAACCTCAAGATTTATTTACATCCCACTCCTCTCATTTGACTATCGATATGCGCTTTCTTGTGTGCACCTAGTATATTTGTATCATGCCTTTTATTATCATTTTTGTTTAACAGTTAATAGTGTTTTCCCGATGGCATATATACTTTTAATTCGATCATTGAAAATGTGATAGCATTTCCTGTACAGAACTATAATCATTTTAGCAGTAATGTCAAAAATGTTCGAAAAGCTGAGACCTTGGATACAGGATCATCAGTTCGGTTTTTGAGAACAGATCCTCGATGCATTGAGTGGTTGCTGAATTCAACAAGAGTCTCGAAGAGAAGAATTATTGCCTTTCTCGACTTATCCCAAGCTTTTGATAGTGTTTGGCATGACGGACTGCTGTATAAAATTAAAAACTGCTTTCCGCATGTGTTCTCTATATTATCATAAAAAGCAACAGGAAATATCAACATAGGATAGAAGTCCACCCAAACCTACTTGCCTTCAGGTTACCAGACTGAAAAGATATAAACACCAGGATCTGTCAACCAGATTTGAAAACATTTAAGTATTCTGTGCGTGTGTGCATGTGTACGGTCATGTGTGTATGTGAACAAACATACATGAAGGTTGGTCAATGAGTTTTTGTCTTATTATCAGACAGATGGCCAAAAAAAAATCCTGTAGGGCAATAAGTTTTCGGCTGATGAACGTTTTCCGTTGCGCCACGTTTGTTTCCAATTAATTAAGCAAATTCAATTTATTTAAAATTTATTTACATATTGTTTCATATTATATTGAATATAATTAACCATATGGAACTTAATTTAATTTAAATTTCTAAAGCAACTTCGTAATTATTCCATTGTCATTAAATCTATTATTTTAGATTCCCGTATAATCTAACTATTTGTTAAATCCTTATAAAGTAATTACGAAAGGGCATTTTTTTAAAAAAATAATAGAGTTGTAAATATAGTTCTGATGATGGATTTAACACATCCAAATCTATTTAAAATCAATTATTATTATTTTCATCAACAGTTTTAATTTTCTCTTATATTTGATTGATTGTATTATAAATTAATACTGTTTATAATTTATTGATAAGATGTTATGTTATCGTTTTTGTTATACATTTCTGTACGCATTTGAAAATATTAATCACGCAACATCAGACCTATCCCAATAGCTACGGAATAATATAATCAATATGAGACTGCGTGGGAGCTGTGCTTGGGATAGGCTGCTATAAAACAGCTATTGCTTCCTGCCCGGTCCAGTTCTTCCTGGATTCGACACTAAACACAAACAATCATTTAGCAGCTGACTAGATTTTTTCTTTTTCTGAAATCCAGTGAATCTACGTGCATTATCAATATGCACAAACTTCAGATTCGTATGGAACAACAAGGAGGCTCCCACAAAACAATGGGATACTATATAGTTGAGTAAACTTCTACAATTTCAATAACTAAAATAAACAAATTTATTCTCTATTTAGTGGGTGGCGATTCAGTGCGAAGGCAAAAAGAAAAATCCGAAGGAGCAGTATGTGAACGTCATCATCGTGACGAGATACCGACTCAAAGTCCTGCAGAAATACTACAGGCTCACTATATTTAAAATTATTGAGATACCACAGAAGAGGCTTCTTCCATTCTACGAAGCGCTCACAGCCGTATACGGTTGTAAATAAATTTGCGTGGAAGTTGAAGAATATTTTATAAATGTTTATCCTAAATTATTCATTTTTTTGAGTAAGTGTTTCATGTCTGCACATAACTAATATTAGGACCAAATATCAATGTATAAATGTCAGTTCTCTTCATTAGATTTGAATCAAGTAATCAAAAAAAATACACAGGGTAATTACGTCAAATCATTTAATTTACATTTAATATCTTGATTGCACAATATTTGATGGAAATTTTAAATAACTGTATTTTTATCTATTGCATGAGAAGCATTTATTAAGAATTTACATTATAAGAAGCACATGATAACATAGTATAAGCCTCAGCATATAATCATCAAACATTGATGAAATATTCTAAGTATTTGATGTCTTTAGAAATAGTTCTGGAATCGTTTCAGTTCGTTCAGGATTGTTTTTCAAGACTCCTCCACAAGGATGGGTCTGATTCTCACCAGGAAATGTATTACGCTTACTACAAAAACAATTGACAAATACCATGATAAAGTTACAGATGAAACACATTCACTCTGTAACTTCAATTATCCTATTTGGGTGGTATACTTGTCAATTTCGTAATATTTGGTGTTGTATTAGCTATTTGGTGTACTGCAACAATTATCTATGATATATGAAAAAAAAAACAATTTGGTGTGAGAAATGTATCATATATTGACGTCAATTTTGTTTTGAAGACTTTTAATGAAAATGCATGATGTGGGTCTATTGTTTTCATCTAACGATTCATTTTATGTTGAAGACATCTGATGCATAACTTTGAATTCGATATATCAATGAATGCATAAGGACTGCGGGATTGAGAATACTCTTGGTAATGGTAAGACTGATTGGCGGTGATTTATTTCTAATTATATTCAAAATCATGTCACGTAGACATGTAAAATTATTTAATATTTTGTAAGTGAAACTTACTCTCGTCTGTAATGAGTGATAAAATGTAGATTATAATATTATTAAGATTCTTACATATATATGTAAAATGCACAATCTAATTGTAGTTCATGCACTTCATGCACATAGTATTATATGTATTAACTAAATAATATAATAAAAAATAAATAAAATGTAATTCTAAAACCTTATTCAATACGTTTTCCACAAAAATTATACTGTCAAACAAATTATTCTTCAAATCGTTCATTTAATTAATCAATTTATGAAATTATTTTAATTTCATTAGTATTACCATTCTTAAGATTTAAGTCCGGGAGGTTCGAAATTTTGGGCTTTTAGTAAACTTCAGTATAATTTTCAAGATTTAAATAATAATAAACAAAATTTGTTGTATAATAACATACAAAGGGTTATTGGTCGCAGTCTTTTCGCCCAGATTTAATATTTAATTAATTTCAGGAAGTTATATTAAATCGGTATTTATTAATCTTTAATGGTTCAGCAAACCAAGAAGATTAAGATTGATTAAATGCAGGTAAGGTTCTTTTAAATTAAAAGGTTTTATATAATCTTTTTGGTCCTATTCCCTTCGGGTTTATTTGCCACCATAATTTTTTTGTTGGTTTTTGGGAAACGAACCAACTTTTTCGTATCGGATTTTCGTGATACAGGCGAGGTAAGGTATTAAAAGGTTTTCTAAAGATTTTAGGGATGTAAAAGTTTAAGAACCTCTGTGGTAGAGTGTACGTTAGAAATGTTGCATATAGGCAACTTCTTTTGCAAATATGAATGAATATAGGTGCAGTGGATCGATCAGCTGAGTGGCGTGGGTCGGCTGAAAAGTCCCTGGCTCAGTTTGGATGTTTTGAGATTTCACCGCTGTCAACAACACGGCGTATTGTCAACAATTTCCAACATGGCAGAACGTCGTTCGAGGCCGTATCATGTGATGATTGTGTCGCGTTCCCGTGTCGTTTGACAGCGTTTTTAAAATCGTGCACCCGAAGTGAAAACAGTTCGCAGCATCTGCGGTGGGTTCTCTGTTAAAAAATTAGATATTGTTTCAGTGCCAGTGCACCAAATGACTATGGAGATGGCGGAGCTGGCGAAGCCGCCGCTCAGTGACATTAAGCATCCCGAAGAAGTCATCAAGATGACTGTGAACGACAGACTCAAGTTCGCGGTCCTCATCGGCTTCATCGAGGTGGGACAGGTGTCCAATAGGGAGGTTGTGAACACCGTGCTGCAATTGGTACGTGCTGACCGCCGCCGAACGGTTCGAACTTAGATCTAAGAATGAAAACAAATGCGAATCGCCGGGGGGAGAAGCTCTGCGGAAGTTTTACGAGCGCACCTAGGGGATGCCGGTCGAGGGCCCCCTAGAAGCCCTCGTCAAATGTTTTGATGACGTGGGCGTGCCGAACTCGCTCACCGCTTACTTATCATAGTAATCCACCTGTACATACTTTACCCGCACCTTTTTTGTCGTTCCCTATTATCTAATCAGCTCCGTGGAGTGATCCATCGGTGTATAATCCGAGAAGGTGACGCAACCGGCCTGGAAGCCCCGTCACCGGATTGATCCAAACAATCGCGAAGAACGAGCGGTTTGTTTACACATAATGATCCAGTTCATATTTATATTTTCACTTTTGGTTTCTGGCGCGTGTCGCCAGACGACCGACCAGACGGAGATTCCCCGGCAAAAATCTAATTAGAATCTCCTGCAGTCTGTACCATGCACATATACAGTCAGATGCACACAGATGTACATACAGCTGACACTATATTGCAATGCAATTAAACGGGGGAACCCTGCTTGATAAACGCGCAAAGGTCGTCAGTTGTAATTCTTAATTGGCCGCAAATCAACAAATCTAAGTGTTTAAGTGGCGTTTTAAGTGACTTGAATTGCGAGCAATGCGTTCTAATTATACCACAATTTATTTACGTATTTACTCCTTTTTTTTTTGCACGTTACCTTCGCCACTTCATGTCGACCCCACTTTACTGTAATTTCGTTTTCCCCATTTCTCAAAATTGTATTCCAAATAAAAAAAAATGCAAATTTACTGTCTTTTGTTGAATATAAATGCTAAATATAAAGAAAAAAGTTAATTATTGTTCAACCCACGAAATTAGTCATCAAAATCATTATATAATGTTCAATTTAACATTAAAATATCCATTTTTCCGTTTCTCAAAATTGTATTTAATTTTAAAATAAAGTTGATTACTTAAAATTAATGGTAATTTTCTTTGTACTTATGTAGAAGATAAACAAAAAATTTAAAATAATGTGAAATTACAAATTTATTGTGTAAATTTCGCAAATATTTCTGTATAGTTTCTGTCATTATGTGGTCTATATACCAAGATTGTACGTTTAAATTAGACAATGCTATAGAACCTTTATACCCTATTAGTTGTGAACATTCAGTAAATTTACCTGGTCGCAATCCTTAGTTATATAATGACAATGTCAGTATTAATCAAATCTTAATCGTGCATCCAGTGGTTTGTAATAGATTAACGAATTTTTAAGTGATTTATAACTAAAATGTTTGTGTGTATATTTTCGTGGCATTGCGATTTTTTACGTATGTGGATTTTCCAGTTTAATTTTATATTCATGTGCATTATGTGTATGAAAAACACTAAAAATTGGTCAATTTAAAAGTAAATCTGAATAGTATTTTCAAATTATATGTAAAATATATAATTTCTTGCGGAAAAGTTAAGGTCTACAGCTATATGTATGCAATGCCTTATGTTTATAACTATTTGTTTACTTGTTATGCATATATTGCATTTCTAATAATAAGGTTTCTTTACATTTTATTTTATCAATATTTATTAAAAATTACAACAAATTAATAAGTATCGAAAATAAAAAATAATAATTTTTATTTGTAAAACGTATAAAGTATAAATTTAATATTATTTATTAAATTTTAACTAGGAGATGGAAACACAAAACTGCGAACAATGTAGCAAGGATATTAAATCACCTAGCATGTGCGTAATAAGAGTGTTATTTTCCTCCGGTCTGACATTGAACATCATCCTATTGTGATGACCGCCACAAAGTAATGAGCGACGTCGGATAATGTGATTATGAGGTTCCAAAGAAACGTGGCATATTTCACGGAGCAAGGTGCTAAATGAGGTAATAAATAAAAATAAGTTGAGTCCGTGTCCGTAAAGATGAAAAATCGCTAAGATTTGAAGCCGATATAATAGCATTTTAGTGTGGCCGTAAATGTTTCACTTTCTTTCTCTATTTCTCAAATACAATCTTGTTTATTATAGCTCCGTTAAACATATTCAATTTAAATAAATATTTGCAACTGGTGAAATTACATTACTGTTTTACGTTTTCAAGAAAATAACAAAACAATGTTAAATAAATAATCAAAACCAATTATGGCGTACGCTTCAAATGACTTAAATTGAAGTTATCATAATTAACACTTTTAATTGATGCCGTGATAACCTTGTGCAATATACGAAGATTATCAAATGAGTCGTGACTAATTGAATTTTAAATAAACATATTGCGATAGCAAAAAACCGTTTATTATCTACGTTATGGCTTGAGTGTTATCGTTGCAAAGCAATTTAAGAGTAATTGTTTATTCTTTAATTGTTTGTAAATCGGTTAATTGGAATCAAAGTTCATGCGACGGTTCTTTTCGTCGGTGCGTTTCGGTTGCATCAGCGAGTAAATTGCTAATTCTCGGCATGAATCATTAGGTGATGTTGCAAGTTTTCCTTTAACCATAACTCATCCCATGATAATTACTTAACGAAGCTGGTGCACTTGATTGGAGTAGATAATGGAAGGGGTGGAATTACGCGTGGAATAGAGAGAGAGAGAGAATGCGACCGGCTGATTAACTTCTAATTGCAATTAAATTAATGGATTCAATTAAACGGGAATTATGAAAGGTTCCCATATCTTATCTTTCTCGTCGAACGCTAATTGATAAGCTGTTACTTCGATATTTTCTCCTAACGTTGCCAAAGACCTCATTATAAACGTATTTAGAATACTTTTCATTAATTTCGGTAAATTAGTTTCAAATTTTTCATTCACGAAACGCCATTTTCAACAATGTATATTTATAGACCCGAGAATGATGCATTACGGTGCAATATGTGAAAATTTTGTTTTCATTGATATTTTCTTGTTACTGAATTGAACGATACGACGGTTCTAATATCAACTTGATTTAGACGATTTGCATGCAAAATGTCTTTTGCAGAGGGTTGCCTTAAGCATAGAATCGCAGAGAAATCACCCTCTTCTTTTCGAACAGCTTGTGTAAACATAAAACCCCACATTTTAATGGTTGGAAAGTTTGATCCGAAAACAGGAAAAATCGACGGTCGAAGCTTTTCAATACTTTTTCAAATCAAAAAGTTGAAGAGTTGAAAATATGACTTGATCATTTATTACACTCAATGATATAGTTTTCTTTATTCTAATATATTAAAATTAATTAGTTTTTTGCTATTGTGCTTTGCATATGAAATTTACAGAGTTGATTGTCTGGAAGCAAATTAGATTCGATAAATGAATTTTGAGTGCCCTAAGAAGCGTCTGCTTTAAATTTATGTGCATTTAAGGCATGCCTTTTACACGTGATAGAACCAATCTATTGGAGATTATAGTCTCCAAAGTTCTCTCGCAAGTTTTTGATACCGCAACCTCTAAAACAACGTAACACATTAATTCGCCTAGAGCCATCCCGAACATCTATAATCTTTCTAATCCAGGCTGTACGTTATATTCTCTTCAAGTCATGCGTAATTTTGCTTGGAATTTGAAAAGCAAACAAGAAAAATGTATATTAATTGGATTTAATCATTATTAATTACAATAATAATTTAGATCTTTTTTTTATTTTATTGAGCTGCTGTAAAGAGCTATTTTTCTACTCTATTTCATCATTAATATCGGTATTAATTATTTTATTATTCTTTTCCATTCCATATATATTTTTTATTATATTTTATCTTATTATGTTCTGTTATTTTTTTTTATATATTTTTTACATTTTTATATTTTAATTATTTTATGTATGTGCTATGCTTATGCGGCCCAATAAATAAGTTGACCATAGGTCTTTCTGCCCACATAAACTAAATTTGTCTGAATGTTGGAATTAATGAAATCACTCACGCTTTTGTACTGTTACTAATATTCTATTTTTCTAGATAAATCATGATTTATATACATTTGGTAGTTATGAATATATTGGTATTTAAGAAATATTAGTTTCAATAGGAAGTTGAAAACGAAACACGCCAAGAAATATGTCTATTTAAGTTGACGGCATCGATATCATGTAAATTATATGCAACTGATAAAAGTAATGAAATATAGACTTGTTTTCCTTATAGTTTTACAAAATATACACATCGAATTTCTGTTTTCGTTAACGTTTGTTTTATTTATATATTTCGTTCTACAGAATTATTTAGAGAAACCGAAAGTAATGAATTATTAATTATTTCCACTTTCTGAATGCGAACACATTGAGGATTTTCGTGGTCACCATTAAGGTGTTTGCGTTTTTTTTCGCACCATAATTTTCGACCTTGACATTCACCTTGTTAACCGTTGTTACAAAACAACATTACACTGTAATTACTTCTCGGTATCTTTATTACCTTAATGTTTACATAAACCGTCATTAAATGCTATTCTTCCCTGTATCAAATAAAAAATCAAACAAGCAAGTAATTTTAACATTTTCTTCGTCGTTTAATTACAAGTTTATCAGTATGACGTAATAATAATTAGCTAATGAATGGAACGACTCGGAACCGTGATTGATATTTTGCAATTTTATCGTTTGCGTTTTATCGATTATTTGCCCACTGGCTTTTAGTATAAATTATGCAATCGAAATAATGCATTTCAGCTGTTGCCACGTTTGATTCGTCATTATCCTTGTTTGTGTTAATATATTATCATACATTTTACAAATACAAATCGATACAAACGAAAATTGAACACAATTTAGGCTTAGTGGCTAAATGCGTGTTAATGTTAATAATGTTATAAATTAAGTTTGCATAACTGTGCTCAATATCGTATTCCAGCAACAGAAAATTGATCCCTTGCCTGTCCTTGCGGGTAATGGGACCCTGAAGTTGCTGAAACCTCAGAAAATAATCGAAGTCGAACCTCTATTATTACATGCAACTTGACATAAAAAGTGACCCAGCAAATCCTGAGGT